ACAAATATAGCTATTTCATATTTATCTAAGTAAAATTCGTCATCGTAATGGCCGATGAATTGGAGCCTTTACATTAGGTGGTACCTAAAAATAGAAGAAGAAATATCATAAGCATTATATTTTTCGTTAAATAATCATTTTTAAAAAAAAATATTAGGTATATTACCATTCCTCCAATGCGAGAAAGATATCGATTTCTAATGCTAATATCAGATTGTGGTTGTAAAAGATCATCAGTGGATAAATCCGAAGTAGATTCTGGAGCCAATAACTTCGCTCTTTCGAAACTTTCCGGTGAACGTCGTATTTCTTCATATTTTTCCCTTTGACTTGGTGTCATATTCAGATAACCGCCACTAGTTGCTATATCTGTCATCCAGATTGCAACAGCAGTTATCAATGAAACTATTAAAAAATGTTATATGTAATTATAAATTTTTTGCAAACGTTTACATAATCAAAATCGTAATATTAAAAAAAAAAAAAACGTACTCCATAGCCAACCCAAGAAAAACATTTCAAGCATAAAATATCCTCCCCGATCAACAATTATACCAGCTAAAATTGAAACTATAGCCAAACCCAAATTTTGTACAGCCTGTGCACTGTAAGTAAAAATAATATTACAAGAATTAAAACATCTCAAGAATTAATATTATAAGAAATGTATTAAATTTTACTTACATTCCATAAGCAGTACCAAGCTGATATTCTGGAGTGACAAGTGCAATCAATGGCCATAAACTACTAGCAAGCATAGAATATGCTATTCCCATAAGAATCATGCATACATAAGGATTCATATATGTAAATGCAAGTAATCCATGAGCTATTATAGTTACAAGAATACTGGTAAACACCCAAGAAACATTTTTTCCGGTTCTATCAACAAGATAGCCGAAAATGGGAGATGCAACAGCCGATATGGAATATACGAGTGAGTTAACTGTATTTGCATTTGATGGTTCAAACGAATATTTTCGTTCGAAAAATACTCTAAGATAAACAATTGCATAATTATGGGTATAATTATGTAAAATATAATTACAAAGATTTCTTTCTATTCATACTTACTTTCCTAAAGCAACAAACGGGAATATTGCCACATAATAAGCAATACAAATGAGGGCAATCAACCAAAATATTAATTTGAAATCTTTAATATCTGTTAAACTAACCACCTCGTGCTCTTGTCCCTCTCCCCTTCTCAATAATCTCTCTACACGTTTATCCATAATACCCAATACACATGCACAGATCATAGATATTACACAAGTGAGAGCAGCAAGAAAGAGAACTATGCCGATACATTGTGGTCCTTTGTAATATTGTGATACGTAATTATATATTGGTTCCATTACTAAAAAGTTCACGGTTGAACCAACTCTAGCAAAACTTAGCTGCAATCCAAATACCAAATTGAGTTCCTTTCCTTTAAACCATAAAACAGCATAACTATTTTGAGCAACAGCTAATGATTCTGCACCAATACTGTAAAAAATAAAAATTATTTCTAATATCATAAAATTTATATTTGCTATAAATCTTTTATAATAAAAAGAAACATACCCAAATACAAAACGTCCAACCATCATCAACCAAAAAACATTGACTATAGCTCCAGTTGCAAATATAATTTGACCAATTAGTGTAAGTCCCATATATATAATTGTTCCTAAACGTATGCCAAATATGCTATCCAATAAAAATCCGCCGATAAAACATAAAATAACATTCGGCCACGAATATATGGAATAAAGCAAAACAAATTTGCTGGTTGGCATTTGTAAGTCCGTTTTAAAATCATCCTGTAAAGCGCCAGGATTATCAAAGCAAAAATACGCACCTGAAAATAAAAATATTTCATACAATTAATTGATATGACCGGATGAAAGTGCATTCGCGTGATAAGCAAATCATCTTAAAGGGGTCTATGACCTGATCGTTTAGAAGAATATTCGAAATACGTGGTAATAATCTATATGATTTAAATCCACGCATATTCAGTTTATATTACTTTGTAAAATAATCCCAAAATTATGTATAATAATAATATAACTTCGAAAAAAAAATTAATTTTATAATAATAGACTTTATTGCGAATTAAAACGATCTGAATAATATGGCTGCACAGATAATATACATGTATATGTATAAATGTATGTAATTATCTCTTAGTTGGACTCCGAATTGAAGTCCAAATGGAATCAAAAACGGAAAAGTAAAGCATGATTAAGACTGAGATAATTCGTAAGATTTTTACATATAATTATTGAAATTATTATTTGTATTATATATATTAAACGATAAATACTTAGAAATAGATATATAAAATGCAACTTTATAATATTTTTTAAAAAATATATTTCAATTGAATAGTTAATTAAATAAAAACAAGATTTTATAAATTTTTTTTACATTATAAAAATTAAATATTACAACTTATTTTATGATTATTTTGACTATTATTAAAATAATATTTAATTAATAATTTATTTTAAAATGAAGTTAACATTGTTGTACGTATAAATAAAAAAATCGCGAGTTTTTTTTTTTTGTATTTCTTTAATATCAAATTGAATTTTAATTCAGTCAAAATATTATATATTTTCATTCATAAATTTTCTGAATTAATAATAAATATATGTAATAAATATAAATTAATAATAAAGAAATAAAATTATATTTTTTATAATTCTATAAATTCATTAGAATTTCGTTACATATACAATCCTAAATATCGAAGTACAGAATTCGATGTTTATATTTACAAAAACCAATCTTACATACTAGAAGATTTAATCAATAAAATTATTACATTTCGCAATCGAAATTATCTTATAAAGAATTTAACCAAAAAAAAAAATAAAAAATCCAATTATAAATATTAAATATTTCAAATAATTCGGCCTTAAAATATTTAAAATGGGAGGTTGTAATATACCGAAACAAGAACGATCAGATATAAACAATGGCTACTCGATCGGTTGTAAAGATAACATAGCATTGACAATCATACCAAAGCCTAAGAGACACATCAATGCGAGGCCAATAAACTTATGCAGTCTCCTTTTAGGACTACAGCAAGCTTGAAGCGCAATCTCATCATCGTATCTCTCAAGAGTAGTCTCTGGACTTTCTAATATGCCTCCTTCCATTGTTACGTTTAATCGTGATATTTTAATGTTTACAAGCTACAGGTGGTGTCCCAAAACGTTCACTTAAATTCACCGTATAAATCATTACACTTTGATCGAATACATAGAGCCAATCCCTCTATAAAATGAGAGATAACTGCAATTTAAATAATAAAATAAAGGATGCAATCGGAGATCAGCCAGTGAATGCTACCGATTAACTAACTTGAACAAGTTAGGTACGCTGCCAGTCGTGTCATTGCTAATCTGTCAATCATATGCGTCATGTGAAAAAAACTAACGTAAGCCGCGAAACAATCAAATACCAAAAGATCAACAAAAAAGTCTCTATTTACTAATGCATATCACTTCATTTGGAATAGCTGCCAACTCTCTATTGATGATTTTCAAACTTGTGGCGCCCTCAAAACACTAGATTGAGTCGGTAAAAAAGAAACACTATGAAGAAAAAACATGATCAATTTTTAAAAATTTTTTTTTTGAGAAACATAACTTATCGAATGTACATATTACTTAATACTAAATATATTATATGAAAATTATCTTAAATTTAAAGATTGAAATTAGAAATAGACACGTTTGAGATCACTCTCGATATTAAGAGGCAACTTCTTCCGTCGCACCCTCGAACTCAAGTTTTACTTCTTCTGGTAGTCCTTCAACATCTACTTCCGATTCTGGTGCATTTAACATGTTTAACGTTACTTCTGCTGACTTTCCCATTAATCCTTGATTTCCTTGTTGTTTCGATACTTGAACTGTTGATTGTTGCGATGATTGTTGGGAAAGCATTTGTTGTCTAATTGGAACACCAGCCTCTTCAAATGCTTTCTTCTTCAGTGTTGTCCGAATCTGAGAGCTAAAAAGTCAAAATGTTCGGTTAATTTTGAGCTGAAACTGACGTAGAGAAATTGAGGAACGACCGTGGGCTCGATGTAGCCTTATTCACTTACACCGTTCGTCCCTTGATGTGTTCACTTATTTTGTTCAAGTCTTCACTGAAGGTCTTTACCGAGTGACGGAGCATCTCAATTTCCTCGTCAGTCCATTTACTACAGATCAAGCGACACAAAAAATTATGTAAAAATACAGCCAGCCATTTCTTTTGTAATAAAGCAATTATGATGCAAAATTATTCCTAACTATTTAATTTTTAATCACTAATGATAAAAAAATAATTAAAATTTTATATATTTTTTTATTTACATGCATTAATAATTTTTGAATAAATTGTAGATAACAAAAAACGTGAATAATATTTATCTTATTTTTATTATTAATATAAAAGAAGAAAACATAATATTTTTGCGTAAAAAATAATAGCAAAAAATGATAATATTATAGTAAAAAATTTTTTCAAATTTAAACAATTCGCACATAAAAATTGAATAAAGCTGTAGAGTGTGAAAGTCTCTTATTGGTTAATAGACTACACCACGTGACATTCTCCCGCGTTTCTCTAACGCGGATAGTGTCATGTAAACTGAAGCGAAAGCAATAGATGCATTACCGCTATTTATGGGAAAAAAGCTATTGCATATACATTTTTTATTCAATTACCCTGCTGGTGAGTCCGTCGTAGGATGTAATTGCATGGTTAATTCTCCCAATTTGTTAAATGCTGCTCCGGCTGCGGTGAAAATTTCACCAACCTAAAACAATTAATATTTGAAATGCTTGAATGATTTGTTGTGCAATTAATATTTATATTCTCTTCTTCTCACAGATTTTTATTAAACAATTACAAAAAGAGAATTTATATCAATTTATTAAACAATTTTGTCGAAGAATAAAGAAAAAAAAATGTTAAAGGAAATCATAACCTAACCTTATGCCCGCTTACAGACTCCATTGCTAGAGTACTCGAGGGTTAAAGCACGTGACTCACGTAGAAAAAGGAAGACGAGCGGTGGGGGAGAACGACCGTTAAGTGTTATATGGCGGGAAACTGCCTAAAATCGGCGACAACAGATGCCTTTTAGCTTACCTTGCTCGCAGAGTTCATGTCAGTTTGTTGTTATGCTCGTACTTCGCCATCAGCAGAACAAACATTTGTACGGTATTGCCATCTCGCGTCGTTCTCAGAATCTTTCCCTTCAAGTAATTGTAACCTCTACTAATCTTTATTATTTACTCTTTTTCTATCTTCTCTCATTATTACGTCACTTTATATAGGATTAATAATTGATATTTTTATCTTTGGTTAATTAGAAAGTTCATATCGATTTTTTATATAATATGTGAAAAAAATTTATATAGATCTAAATTAATATTTGGAACATCTACATATGAATCACGTACAGAAATATTTCAATGCTTTCCAATTATTTCTGACGTTCTAAAAGAGGAAGTTAACGTAAGAATAAGATAAATTTATACGTATTTATATCTTACAGATAAAGAATAAAGAATTTGACATATAATTTGATATTTCAAAATGATTATTATTATTTTTTTTACATTTGAATATTCGAAATAATAAATTTCAGAAACTTAAAATTATTTAAAAAAAACAAAATTATCTAAATATAATAGCTAAATATTATGTATCATTAAATAATTGTATTAAATAATCAATGTATCAAAATGAAACTTGAAGTTAGCCAATTTTAAACTTCAACATATTACAACCTTACGGAAAATTAAATATATAAAAAATAAACAAAAATTTCCAAAAATTTGATAACTTTTCTTTGATATTTTTCATTAATGCAAATCATTTATCTTTTCTCTATACAAATCATCTATCAGAAATTATTTCACCAATTGTATTAATATTCTTAACCACATTCGCATAAAATATATACATATATATATATGTACTATATCTTCGTCGCTCATTCGACGTCGATTAGCGTACGGAAATGCATCAATCTCAAGAGCGATAGCTCACGTCCTCGCATAAATTAATAGTCTCCGTTTCCACTCATTGTTCTTCGTAACCATGACTCTTCGAAAATTACAAAATTCCCTCAATATACGTTCAATATGCTCAACAGGATCTCCAGTGTATTTCAACGTTTTGAACAATGGGAAATCCTCAGCCTTCGATCGTCTAAGCCTTCTGGACGCGTTTCTGTAACATTTCCAGACTTGTGGCTCGATCACTATCATGTCGGCGATGGAACAAGCCTTTCTTAGAAATTTCACCAGTCCTTCGTCCCCGTGGTTCAAGTGGATCCACATCGTGATCGAGAAACAGAACACGACGTCGAATCGTGACTTTTCGAATCGGCCAAGATGCTCGTTCAGGACTCGGTCACAATCCTCGGTCAAAAAATCGACGCACTCGAATATAATACGATCAGAGCGTGGATTGCGTTCCCGTGCCCGCTCGATTAAAATCGGATCGAGGTCCACGCCGAGCAAACTGATCTCCTTCGGCTGATCGGCCGATAAAGCTTTCTCGAGGAAGTCGTGCAACACGAATGTTAAATCCTGAAATCGTTAAATACGATTTGCGATATTTACGAGATATCCTTTGGTCAAGAAGAAGAATTTTTTAAAATATTTGTAATTTTTTTAAATTGAAAAATATTTCTCATAAGTGGAAAAGAATTTCCGGAAGGAAGAATGATCGTCGAGAAGGGATAAGATCGACTAAATTTAGACGGTTGTCGTTTGTAATTTTCGGATCACGGTCACGACTCATCCTATTTTGTCTGACAGCTGTTTCAGCCTTACCCCCGCGTTACAGCCGACGTCTAGGCCTACGTATTTCCGGTCCGGATGGGCAGACCGCCACACGCCACGCGGAAGTTGTCGCACGCGCTCTTCCGCAGGATGGAATTGGTAATAATTCATGAAGTTCCCGTGTCTACTAGCACCCGGATCCGTCTTATCTTCCTGCCTTTCCTTGCGCGATGATCGTGCCTCTTCCCCCGACATTTTAGAATATCTGAAATTCGGTGAGTCACGTTTAAACCTCATAATATATTTTGAACATAGATTAGTTTTAAAAAAATATATCTTTGAACATAATAAAACAAAATCATAATACCTCTTGATTAGAAATTATATTTGAAAGGTATCGATAACTTTGATCAACTTCGATTTCCAATGCTTGTCGTACACGCAAAATATCTCGAACTATTTCACATATATTTCTAAATATAACAATTTTCGATTCGAAACACAATTAAGATATATTGAAGATTAAAATCGGTTTCTCTCTCTATACAATAAACCGATCACCGATTTCTCATTGGAACTTCATCACCCTTGCAATTATAAATCAAAAAAGATGCTCGGCCTACTCGCGATTTCGTAACACCGTCCAGACGGTTGCTTCGCGAAAGTTCGCGAGCAATCGGTTAAAAATAATGCACAACTAGCCGCGAAGCGGTTTCGTTGATAAAGACCGATAACGAAAAAGAGGAATGGGGGTCAGAGACGTTGCAAGAGCGGAAGGATCGAGCAGATAATTCCCCCGGTGTCCGCGACCCAAATAAATACAGCCTTCGATGGACGTGTTTCGACGCGCTTGGCCACGGGGAAGGCCTGAGAAATCGATGATGCATTGTCTCGCCACTCGTGGAGAAACTCACTTTCTTGCCGCCGTTACTCGGAAATATTTCCTACACTATGGATTCATGCCTTGTATACGAACATCGTGTAATTTTATTACCGCGAAATAACAAATTTGGAATTTGTCATTTTCACGAGTCCAAAGTGGCGTTAACTGGTCACATGATGTGTTTCCGTTACTTATTATACGCTTCTTATTTACTTCTCGTGATTGCTACGTTCTCTCAAAAACATCATCCCGTATCCCAAAGATATTATTCCTCCAATCCGTATAAAAATCACTTCGACAATATCCGAAATATCTAGAGCTTAGTAAAAGTCCAGAGCTTAAAGATTTAAAGGATTTAAATACGTGTATATGCGAAAAGAAGAATTCTCGAACAGTTTCCGGAAATTTCGGACGAGGCAAGGTTGACCATAAAACGTACAAAGATCAGGTAACCGAAGGATCGAATGGACGAGCAGCACGAGCCCTGCTCCTTCGTCCCATTATTTCTTTCTCTCTCTCTTTCTCAGCCTCGCCATAAGGTAATCGACAAGGATGAATAGGAAACGGAGAAAGGGAAAGAGAGAGGGAGAGAGAAGAAAAGGAATGGAATAACTTACGAAGGAGGCAGGTGTTAGATGTGTATATACCTACGCGCACCGGTCCAAGAAGTGCAAGAACACAAGGTCCATTCTCCACGGGCCAACTCGCAGCAATTTCCTCTTTCTTCGACGGTGGCAGATGTGCCTGCAGAGGCATGCAGGCACGAGATAACCAGGATTATACGCGAAGGATACCTTAGAGCAAGCTGGAGTATCGAGTCTCGTGCACGCCTTGTTTTTTTTCTTTTTTTCTTTTCCACGCTTTGCCCACGACAGGACCGCACTAACCGACCCGAGTGAAACGAGAAAGTATTTCACGTGGACGTCTAGAATTTCGAGGGACTAATGAATGGCAAAATGCCTCCTTTTCAAAACGGTGATTCGGATCTTTCATCGGGAGGAGGTTGAGTGGGAAATATCGGTGTATGGGATACCCTATTGCTTAGGTTTTACGTGGAGGGATGATTCATGGATTTCGTGTCACTATTCCCCTCATAGGGTGGGATTTCGAGTGATTCATGGTAGTTGAGAATGAATCCTTTAGTCACCTATCAAAATTTTAGATTTCGCAATATCGAGGCATTCTTGGTAAACCGAACGCACACCGATTAAACAGATTTCTCTCGGCGAGTTTCGAAATTCTTTTGTTTTCTCAGGTGAATTTGCGTATCTACATATATACAGGTAAATACGTGGAAACCGGTACAGATAAAATCAAATATGCAAAGATGATAAAGGTATTAAAAGTGTCAAAGCAAAGATATCGACGATTAAAGAAAAAAAAAAGAGATTATTATAAACGAAATCGACCTAGAAAGATATCGCGATACGTTGCAAACGAGATGAAGACAGGTATTTTCGTTCGTGCTACTTTCGATTTAAAAAAAGAAAAAGAAAAAAAAAATACACATTTGAAAATTAAAATTCTAGGCAAGCTTTTCAATTTTATGCAAAATTTTAATTTCAGTTTATTTTTCCTTTTTAGATTCTCTATCAGATATTAATTTTAATTAAAAACGATCACAATCTGAATTCATTAAGTTATTTCGCGTGCACTTCGTTTTATTAATCAAGTTTTAACGTTTAAGAGGTGTGAACTGTTTTTCTTATCGAAATACATCGTTACATAACGATAAATTCGTCTTAAGCTGTCAGCTGTTGCAACTTGATGTAAATTAAAAATTGCAACATTGCATTAAAAATAATGATATTAATCTACTCACTTTTCGGAATTGTTTATACATGTAAAATTTACTTCTTCTTATTGATATTAATCGA